GTAGATAACCTACCCTCAAAAATGAGGGGGAATGTAGCTCCTTACTCCTTAGATGCAGGTAGTTCCTATGACTTGCGACAATATGGTAAAAAGAAATAAAGTAACTTTGCAAAGGAAAAACCATAGCAAACACTGTCTCAGCCCGTGTTCAAGGTCAACAGTGCTAAGTCACACTGATAATATGTACCCTCCCTATGACATGAGGAGAATGACACTTTACCTCTGCAGTTTCCTAAAGGCCCAAAATTATGGCTTAATCATGGGAAAACATCAGACAGATCCCAAGTGAGGGACTTTCTACAAAATACTTGACAGATATCCTCAAAACTGTCACTGTAATCAAAACCAAGAAAGTCTGAAAACTTATCACAGCCAAGAGGAACCTTAGGACCCCTGATGACTAAGTAGTATGGTATCTGGGTGACATCTGGAACAGAAAAAGGACACTGGAGAAAAACTAAGGAAATCGTAATAAAACATAAAATTCAATTAATACTAATATACCACAAATGTTCTATACTAACATAACAGAGGAAAGTGGGTATTAGAACCTTTTGTATTATCTTTGTAATTTTTCTATAAACTTTAACCTATCCTATAAAATAGAATTTATTAAACAAAAAACAACCATGCCCTTTGGCCCAGAAGTTTCCCCTCTGGGAATTTTCGGGGAGAAATAATTAAGTGTAAACCTAAAGTCATCCATATGGATGTGTGTCACAGGTGTGGGTAAGAATGAAAAGGTGGAAATAATTTATGTCTAGTATAGGTATAATAAATCCAGACATTTCAATCATGAATCATAATCTTACAGAGATATTATTCTTGATAAGGAAGGTATTCATCATGCTAGTTAAGTGGAAAAGCAGATTATGAAAGAACCTATGAAATATCTATTTTTATATATGCTCTAGAAGCCCAGTGCATGAAATTCGTACACTGGGGCAGGGGTGTGTGTGTCCCTCAACTCAGCCTGCAACCTCTCCAATCTGGGACCCCTCATGGGATGTCTGACTGGCATTTGAACATCCCTTTCACAATCCGGGACTGCTGGTTCCTTATCACTCTCCTGCCTGCCAGCCTGATCACCTCCTAACCCAGTGATCAGCAAACTGGCTCATGAGCCACGTGCGGCTCTTTGGCCCCTTGACTGTGGCTCTTCCACAAAATACCACCTGTGGGCGCACATGTACAGTGCGATTAAAACTTTGTAGCCCATGCACAGAAGTTGGTTTTCGGCTCTCAAAAGAAATTTCAATTGTTGTACTGTTAATATTTGGCTTTATTGACTAATGAGTTTGCCGACCCCTGCCCTAACCACTACCTTGCCAGCCTTATTGACGCATAACTGCTCCCCCGATGGTCTAACTGCTCCCAATTGCCCTCCCCTGCAAACCAGATCACCCCCAACTGCCCTCCCCTGCTGGCCTTATCTCCCACAAATCCCCCCCCAACCCTGCCAGCCATCTTGTGATGGCCATCTTTGACCACATGAGGGCGGCCATCTTGTGTGAGGGCATGAGGGTCAATTTGCTTATTACCTCTTTATTATATAGGATAGGGAATAGATAGATCTATTTTAGAGTGTTAATGTTATCACTGGTGGATAACACCATAGGGTGTTTTGGGGTTTTTTCTTTTTATAGAAGCAATATTTGTTTGTTATAGAAAGTACAGCTCAGCAGAATGGAAAAACTTACTTTTTTAATTTTTAAAAAAAGAAGCCTGGAAATGATTCCATATAAATCCAACCACAGTAGCAACAGAAGACTCCATCCTAAAGAAAGGCATTCTAAGAACAGATGGGACATACTAGTAGGCAGGCAAACAAGCCGCTGCCTGCTACTTCTGTGCAAGTATCTCCCTGTGCAAGGCTGCTGCCTGAGCAGGCCTGCTGGTGCCTCTCCATCTTCCACAGAAACAGGCCACGACCCAGTCCCTGTGGTGTGTGAGACAGGAGCCACCTTTAACCATGGCAGACAAGTGGCAAGGTGCATGGAGATCCAATCTGTGGTCAGAGCGTGGACCTGGAGATCCAGTCTGGTCCTGTGGTCAGAGCATGGACCTGAGGCAGCGCTGGAGACCCGAGCTTCTCTCAGAGGCATCTTCGCAGGCCTGCAGAGGCACAGGCTCTCCTGAGAGACAAGCCCAGGGTCTGCATTTCCTTCTCTTTCTATAACAATCCTGACTAGTTGAGAGTTTGGCTCAGTTTTAAACCCAGGTCAGCCTGGTGACTTCAAAGCAGCTAGATTATGCTGCCACTCTCGGTGGTCAATACCAACTATAGAACGGGCTGTCTATCTGACACCCTTAGTTCATTTCAAACAACAACAAAACAGACATTAAAAAGCATCTCAATATCCTCTGAGTGCCACTCTCATTATAAATCGGAGTGTGATTGGTAGAAGTCTCAGAGGAGGAGGATGAATGGCTGAGGCGGAAGTCTGGCCATTTCCTTGGAGAAAGTATAGACTTTTATAGCCTATTTAAGATAAAACCTTATGAGCGCAGACCAGCTTCTACACAAAGTGAAGGAGCACTCGGAGATGACTATATTGTTAACCTCCAGGAGAGACCACATGCTAAGGAAGACAGGTTATTAATTAACTGTGAAAACAAATATGCTCTATTTGAAGATGCTATTCCGGAAAATATATTCTATCTCTATCTTTGCCCATCTCTGTCTCTCTTCCTCACTTAGCAGGCTGTAAAGTCCAGCAGGGTAATTGCTGTCTCTTCCTGATTGGTGTGCTTGGCATCATGCCTAACACATAGCGGATTGTCAATAAATATTTAGCAAATAAAAGAATCAATCAGCGATATGCCAAGATCTCAAGGTCTCGTGCTTTTAAACTATGAGGTGAACTATATCCTTCTGACCCAAGAACAGATCTCTTTTAGGCTAATGAGAAAAGATCTCATCATTCGTGGCTTCTGACCTTTACCCCAAGCCAATGCTACATGTCACATGGTAAAGAAACTGGCAACACAAAAAGAACTCACTTATAATTTCATTATACTCATTTGGGGTAGGGACAGGGGTGGGGGAGGTTGTTGACCTTTGTGAATATGATGAAAATTGTGACCTCTCTCAGACAGAGGAACACATAAACACAATGTTGAATACCATTTCAGTAGGTTCATGAACCCTTTATGCATTTCAAGTGAAGAATGCTGACTGTGAACTAAAGCTTAAGGAAAGGGCACAGCCACCATGCTAGGCTCTCATAGTTGAAGGGCATTGACAAGAGAACAATAGGAGCTTGCTTGGATATAATGCCAAATGGGGGTGGGGTGGGGGTGGGGGGAGGGGGTAATGACACCAGTTCCAACTGGGCCTCGATTCTGGTGAGAAGCTTTCATAAAAGACTTTCTGTTCCCCTTGGGAGAAATGTCACCGAACACGTGGCTCCTTAGTGCTAGTTCTCGATCACACCCTTCCCAGCATGCTCCCTCCATCCTGTGATTGGACAACAGTCAGGAAAAGGGAACAGACACGGGAGGGATTTGGATAGTGAAGGCTGCCCAGTTGGTTCCCTGGGCTCCCGGAGTACACTTAGCTTATTGTCAGGCTATGTCTTGAAATACTTTCGCCCTGAGCCAAAGTACTCCAAGTGAGTCGCCTAGGATATTTCCCCTAAAGTCTTTCTCAAATGGATGTAAAAGAGCACAGATTTGATATAGATACAGACAGGCCCTTGTGAGGTAAGGTTCTCTAGGTTATGGCTGGGAGCTGGTGCACCCCAAGCCTGTCCTCTTCCTTGCATAGCCCGTCCCCACCCGAGGAAGGGGATTTTACCTCCCTTCCAACTTCCCTGTCTTGACTATTTCAGACTTTATCCAGGGGATATAGACCTTGCTCTGTGACCGAGGATTTTACATCTCTCAAAGCCCCACCGTGTCCAGCTGGGAAAAGGGCTAATAAAAATAACAGCCCCTTCATCCTAGGATCATAAGGGGAGTGACAGGGGGTGAGGAGCCTTGGCTCAGTGCCCCCGCCACACAGGCGCCCTATCCAGTCAGCTCTTGTGACAGTTTTGGTTGTGGCCTCGAGAAGGGCAGGAAGGAGAACTGGGCGAGTTTGCTGTTTTTGCACTTCTCAGTGTGCTTGCTCCCTGTCCCCCTTCTTTTTCTGGCCTGTCCTCCTGCCCTAGCCCTTGTCTCAGCCATGTTCTTGCTCAGCATCAAGCCAGGGAGGTCCACCCCTAAGCAGCTGAGCCTCTAGCCATGCTCTTAGACACAGCTCATGGTTTAGCCACTAAAGTGTCAGTGACATCTAGGCTGACTGACCCCTTCAACTCCCTCTCTTCCTGTTGTGTTTACTTCTCACTCACTTTTTAAAAACAACTTAATGCTTCTACATGCCAGGGCGGTACAGGGGAGAGTAAATAGCAAATACTTTATAGGATGTGAGAAGAGCTAGGAAAGAAAGAAATAAGGTGGCGATGAAGAATCACCAGGCATCCTACTTAGATGCAGTACCTTCTCTGAAGTGGTGACATCTGCTTCCGGGGCCTACCCGTGGCATGAACTGCAACCTTGGTGGGATTCCGTGAGAGGAGAGCAGAATGCAGGCTTCCTTTTGTCTTTCTCTCCTAATAGTAGATGGCTTAAGGCGTAGGGGAAGCCAGACTCCTGATTTTTACTAGCAATTCATTTTGTCAAGTAAGTTTAAATAAGTTTATTAAACTATTATGAGCCACGCCTGCTCGTTTAAGTAGTGGTCCACTTGTTGTGGTCCTATGTATGTTATGTGTTTTATCGTACTTAATCCTCCAAGAACCCAGAAAGTAGGTTTTATCATCCCTGAGCCCTGTAGTCAGATAAATCGGAACGTAGAGAGCTAAGTAGCTTGCCCGTGGCCACATACAGTGCCCAGCAGTGACAGGGTGAGGACTAGGACTTGGGGTCTGACCACAGAGCCGGTGCCTTCAGCCAGCAGCCACGGTCACCTCCCCACTGTGATGACGTGCCTCACCTGGCTCTCTTTTCCTTTGCAGTGGGGCCAGTGATGAAGAGGACACATGAAGGCTCACCATTCCCAGCGGAGAACCATTCCTCCCCCGACCCCGTGTGTGTGACAGCGTGAATGTAACGGCTTCTGACTCTGTGAAACCTGCCCAGCAACCAGTGTCCTTGCACCCATACGTCCCCAGATCCTCAGCAGGCCATAGCTCTCCGGGGATGCCAGGTGCATGCTCGCCGACTGTGTGCTCCTCATTCCTGTGTCGTGGTGGGTTAGGTGTGCCCGTTGGGTCAGTCAGGAGCAGCTGGGAAGGGTCGGTCCTTCAGGTAGCCCCTCCATGGCTGCTTTGAACTGGCTCAGGGAGCCAGCCCCTGGAATTTTAGGGGCCCAGATGTACCTCCTCACTAGGAAGACTCTGGAATAACCTCAAAGGGCAATCAGAATGTTTTTCCTACCTGCCACCTTATTCCTATTAAAGCATGAAATAAATGAGGCAGAGTAGGGCTGTACCCACATAACCAGTCTCTAAAATTCCAGTGCATTTGTGAAAAGGTGGTTTTGTGAAATAAGATGGATGGTTTAAAAACAGGGCTGGAGAAAGAGTTAACATTCAGACATCTATAGAGGTATTTTTAGCACATAAGGTTATCCAGGACTTCAGATTCATAATCCAATGCTGTGGAATTGAAAAAAAAAAATCAAAAACTTAGAAAGGAAATAACATTTAAAAAAAAAAAAAAAGAGGACCAAGAAAACCAGTTTTCTGAACTCAAATTGCCTGAGTTTCTGAAACAGTCACTGAAGGATCTGATGGACCTGAATGACTGGGTGAGTTCTGAGGTCTGATGAGTTTTGTCACATGAAAGGCTGGATGTGTACTACCAAGTGGGAATTTTCAATGTAGGTTTTTGTCTATCGCTCCCCCTCCCCCCACCTTACACACACACACACACACACACACACACACACACACGCACACACACACACTTAGCCTAATGTGGCTTAAATGCAGTGTGGGGAGAGTCCTTGTCGTTCACGATGTTCTGAATGGAGCACTGAGCTTCGTCTCTCAGTAGATACCCTCCCTGCACGGCAGCCGGAGCCCCTCTGCCCTTGCCCTCCCTGCCAGCTACCCCCAGCAGCTGCCCGCTGACCCTCCTCTCTAGTCACGTGAGCAGACCCATCATGCTCCCAGATCCCAGCTCCTCACAGCCAGGTTTTCATGCTCAAATGGTCAGTGAGGTCCTAGGAATGCCACGCTGCTAAACACCTGCATCTTCTGCAGCATCTGTCTTACTTCGTTAGCTTGGAATCAGGGGGTGATCTCACTTTTACAAACAGTTAAATCATGAAGTCAAGTGTCTGGACACATCCACGAGGTTAAAGTAAAATGGGAGCCTCCACAGGAAATTCTCGTTGGCAGGTGGGATGAGTGCTCCTGCTCCTGGCCTTTAGTGGTGCTTTGGTGTTCATTTCTGAGAAGGACAACTGGAACTGGATCCTGGTGTCCCTGGGGCTCCTGCTGACTGGGGCCTACACTTCTGGTGCCTCTGAGGCACCCAAGGAGCCTGCCCTGGGGGACCCCCCCTTCCTGCCTGCTGCCTGCCTGACCCTGGACCCATTACATAGCTTTTGGGCCCGCTGACTTTTGTGTGCACAGCATGGTTTTGAGCCAGAAACAATACTTCCGTGCTGTAGGAATCCTATGTATATCATTGTTCAGTTCTGTGCATGCTACTCACTGACCATTCCTTTGGTGCCAGGAGGCTACCAGGCATGTGTACTCTGGGTTAGGGTTATCCTAGCTCACTAAATATGTCAGGGCTTATTTATAAATGTGAGAGGAGTTTTGGCTGTTAAGGAGGGGGGACAGGGTATTTTTCTCTCAAACTAGTAGCCGACAAACGGCCAAGACAATGGCACTGTACCTGTCTGCCTGCAAAGGCCAGGGAATCCTGCCTAACACTGATTACCGTCCCAACGAAATGCTCCTTAAAGATGAACCAATGGCCTGTCTTAAAATAAGAGCTTAAAAATTAGGCGATTAAGATTTGGAAATCTTTTCCCATCTCTACATAGTCATAGTATCCTTGTCTTAGCAATGGACAGATCACTGGCCTCTTCATACTGAGCCCATGTGACTTTTAATCAGTACTTGGGAAACCCAAGCATTTATGCAGAGGATGTGAGCGGAAATACGAAGATGCATGCCAGCCTGTCTCCATTAGTGATCGTTTTCCTGTAATCCTCGAGGAAAGCACTTCTGCTTTTCCTTAGAGAGGATGTCAGACTCCCTTTCTGGGTTCCTGCTGTCCTCGGCACCTGATAAAACTTGAAGCAAGGAAGCCTGAAACGGTGCAGCCGCGTCTGCCAGGCTCCCGAGTTCCTGCCGGCAGCATGGCCAACATCAGAATGAGGGTGCTTCCTGCAGCGGCCCTGGCCTCCCAGAGCTGCAGCTGCGGGCACCCTGAGGCCCAGCGTGATGAGGCCCCCCTCCCGCAGGTCCTACACACTGTGCTCCAAGCCCTGTCCTGGCCGCCGCAGGCTCTGCAGAAATCCCAGGAGAGGGCAGGCGGGCAGGCAGCCAGTGAGCATCTTCAGGATGAGCTGGGTCCCCACAACAGTACCTGGCTGCCTTCCAAATACCCGGTGTCTGGAGACCTGGGCGGGGGAGGGGGTTGTTTTTATTTAATGTGCAATTCCAAGAAATGCTTGGAGTCTCAGCTCTGACAACCAGGAAGGGAAATAACCTATACTGGGGACCAACTATGGACCAGGCCTCATACTAGGCCCCCATTCTCAGATGATGAAGCCGATTGGGAGTGCAAGACTCACTTGTCTTGACCTGCCAGGAGATACTGGAGCCGGGTTTTGAGCCCAGCACTCCCCAACTTTGCGGCCCAAGGTCCATGGCAGTACAGAGGTGGAAAGCTGGCAGCGCCCCCCTGCAGTGAGACCACCACTTTATGACTTCTTTTTCAGAATTACATTGCGTGGCTGTGGTTTGGGCCCAGAGAAGGCATCAAACTTGCCTATCCTTCCACTTGAGCGGGTGCATTAAGTAGAGTTGCTAATTTAAGCCTGCCCCCAGGAGCCATCCCCCGTAAGAAAAGAATTTCTGGGCCTTCAAGAGGATAGAGCTTCTCAGAGCAGTGAAGGGGAAGGGTGTCTGCTGTTAGGAAAGGGAGCCTTCGTGTTTCAGTCACCTCGCCATGTCTGTGCCTGGGCGGGGGTGGTCATTCACAGTCCACTGAGCCGTGCTGACACCTGGTACGCGTGTGGACGTAAAGATAAGTGTATGTGTATGTACACACACACACACACACACACGTGCGTACACACACAATTTAAGAACAAAGGGAATTCAAAGCAGCCCCTCATTATTCTGCATGCCACCTCAAAGGCGTCCACCAGCCCTGATTACACATGTCACCAGACATGTCAGAGCTTAGGGGCTGACAGGCTGCTAACAGGAGGAGAGCTCTCTCAGAGGTTGCCAGGAACTAAAGCACGGAGCTGGGTGACAGCCCTACTCCCGTGGTCTAGTGAAAGGGGAAGCCGACCCATCCTGGGGATCTGAGTCTGACCCCTCCCCTGAGCCTGTGGGCACAGCTGCTGAGTTCACAACCAGAAAACATTCTCCTGCCCGTGCCTGGACCCCGCCCTACCCCCTCCCCCCCCACCTGATGACTGCTCAGTGCGTGCCTTTTGATGAGAATCCGTTGCAATGTTTCCCGTGTGCCTAGCACATGTGGGATTTTGTGTTTAAAGAACAAATGATCTCATTGTGGATGGCCTGGGCCCAGGCCAGAGAGCAAAAGATGGCCCATAGCGGAGACACCTCATCGTGTTGTCTGTACCCAGCATTCCCTGCGGCCCCCACCCCAGCCGATTCCAAGTGCCATAAGGCCAGGCAGTCCCACCCTCCGAGGCCTGCCGGGTAAAACAGTGCCATTCGGAACTGAGAACACACCAGAAACCGCAGCACATGCATCAGAGCAAGAAAACGGAAATAAATTCAGACAGTCGTCTGTCTACTGGTGTAAAAAAGTGCCACAGAGCCCGGGCTGGGTGTGATGTGACCTTGAGGGGACAATAGATTCATACTTAATGGGAGTTAAACCTGACAGGTCTCTCTGCAGTGACAGGCGCTCCTGCCTGGGTGGGAGACCAGGAACTGCTGTCCTCTGCCTGTTGTCCTGTGCAGTCCCAATCCCTCCTTACTCATCATCCCCTTCCCCCGGTGGTCTAGTGAAAAGGGAAGCGTGCCAACCGATTCTGGGGATCCGTTACGTTAAACAAGGGAGCACTCAATCTTTCTAGGGAACCACGCGTGTGAGTTAATGTTTCAGTACATCATCTTCATACTGTAAATTATTTTGTAAGAGCGATTTACCGCCATCCCAGGATGTTTGGACTCAGCGCCCCTGTGCATTTGGAAATCAATAAACTATTACTGGAAATACCATCTGTCTCTCGGAGTCGGGCACAGAGGACCCACTGGGTGTGATATTCACGACAGTCCGCGTTCTCAGCGGTGGACCAGCCGGGGATGCGGTGTTCTGGTCCCCAGGTGGGGGAGTCCCGTTTACTCCTGATTGGTTTAGGGTGGCAAAGGGCAGACTGAAAGTCATTCCATGTAGCGAGATGTTGACATGGCCTCTTCTCAAAGTAAAATGATCTCTGCCTCAGTTACATTTTCTAAGCAGAGGAGATTATAACATAAAGAATACGTGGTCCTGAGTGGGGGTTTCAAATAATAATGCTTTACAAATTATGTTAACCAGGCGGCAGGTCAAACTTTCATTTTTATTATATTTTCTAGAAAAAAAAAACACTTCACACAGGAAATCACAGTTAGGCCAGCAGCATGGTCTGTGTGGAATACACATTTGATATCATTGCTGAAGAGACAGGACTGCGTTGTAAATGAAGCAATTCAAGTCCAATTTGCAATATCAAGACCAGAGCTGGCACTGAAACCAAGTCAGATTCTCAGAGGCAAACTGTGAAACGCAAGACAGTCGATACTGTGCGAATTAGAAATTGCAAGTCCTGCCTGAAGGCATTAAAGTTCAATTTTTAAAAATCCAACCTAAAACCCATCAGCAGGTGTGTCTGGAGGAGCTGCAGCTTCTGAACCTGCTCTCAATTTCCTTCTGACAAACTTGTGCCTGTCAGACCTCTGGAGTCAGCTGGGGACTGCATGCACCTTGGAGGAATTGTCCAAGATAGGGAGAGTCAGTCACACAAGGTCACCCAGGAGCCACGTTACTAGAACCAGTTCAGCAGCCTCTCTGTCTCCTAGAGCCGCCGCTGGGCCCTGCTTCCCCTGTCCTGGCTGCCGCCGACACTTCCGCCTGGCGGGGTGGGATTGCCAAGCACCAGAAGCACCAGAGCATTTGGGAGTCTCAGAGTTTTAATCAACCACAAAGTGTTGGGAGGTTTGCTTCCCCACTTCCTGGTGCCAGGATCTCACCACCACATCCCAGTGCCCCAGCCCTTCCCCTCACTTTGTTCTCTTTCCCTCTGAAGGCAAACAACTCTTCAGTTTCATCGATCTTTGCTGGGTCCAGCGAAGAGGTGGGCCCATTTCCGTTCCGCTCTTAAAAGGGTGAGGTAGCAGCTTGTCTGGAATATCTCATGGCCTTACTAGGCACCAGAAATACCCAGCTCAAAGTTAGCCTGCCAGTTTTAATAAGAGAAGAAGATGTCACAGGAGGAAAAAAAAAAAAAAAAAAAAAAAAAAAAAAAAAAAAGGCTGCTTCAAGTTAATAACTGGCTTGCTGAGTAGCTGTACTTGTTAAATATTTAAGTCTCTAGGTTAAAATCATTTATTTTTGTTAATAATAGCTACCATGTAGTGAGCCCTTTCTCTGGGCCAGGCACTATCTAGTTGCTTTTCACACTGCCTTACTTAATTCTCACAGCACTAATATTACCATTCCTGACTTCATTGCTCAGAAATCAGATTTAGAGAATTAAATACTGTGCCCAAGGTCACACCCTACTAAATGGGAAGGCAGGATTTAAACCCAGGCCCAGCAGTTCTCCAACCCTTGCTGTTAATGGCTCCTAGCTGCGTCTTGTACTGGTGAATGACATCACTGTCCCACCCCCATACACAGGCATAGCATGGCCTTGTGGGGAAGGAATTTGTCCCTTTTATAGCTTTTCTTTGGACACTTCCACAAAGTACAGTGTCCAGTGGGGGAGAGAGGGCTGAGAGTCACAGTAAAATCCTCTTCTCACCTGAAACTGCATTGTTAGAAGGAGGGAGCTATTAGACTTACTTTATCTTTGTTAGTCCAAGGTCATAAATAATGAAATTGCCAGGAAAGGCAAAGCCATGGTATCAGTTGCCATAGCCTTGGAATCCCAAAATGCCAGCCAACTCTGACAGCCTGTAATTTAACATCTCCAAGGCATCCTCAACAGCTTGATACGGGGCCAGCTTTGCATGATGGGAAAGGGACTGCAGAAGAAGCTTGTCTGTTTTAGTCCATTTACTGAGTTCAGCCATCAGGGCCACAGTGACCCATTTACCTTATACAAATCGCCCACACCCTCACGCCAACTCCTTTATCCGGGGCTCACCCCGCTGTCAGCCTCACCTATCTCTACTTTCTGAACATGGAATCCAGACAGGTGGCTTAACAATCACTGAGACAGAATCAAAAAAATCTAGAACCTCTGCTGGGTCCATTCAAAAGTGACAGAACGAGGAACTACGCTAACAAGCTGACAGGCGAAAGGAATGTTAGGAAGCAAACATATAAGAGAAAGGTCGTACCTCAACCCGTATAGCACCCACTTAGAACCTAGTCATTCCTACTTCTCACATAATTCTAGATGTTTGATGTCTGGTTTCCAACCTTCAGCAGATTAAGGGTGAGAAACAGACTGCTAGAGGGAACTTAGGTCAAGAGAGGAAAAACACTGCCATAGAGAAGATAAACAATCTGCGGTAGACCCAGAGCTCAGGAAGCAGTGTTTGGGGCAAGGATTCAGGGCCAAACCAGCTCTATGCACACCTCCATCCCCTACAGCCTCCGATCACAGGCCAGTAGGATTGTATTCAGTGATGACCCTGAGCCTCTCACCTAAAGAAACTACCGTTAGACTCAGAAGACAAGTTTTGCATATCAACCATTTTAGACGTATTTCTACCACAAGTGGAAAAACAAACACGTTAGGGATTGAAAGGAATAAACTTTGGCCACCCAGAACATTTACCTAAACAAAACCAAACAAAACCCTTTCCCCTACCTGAAGTTTTATTCATGAGCCTCTTGTGTTTAGATTTTTTCCCCATTGCTTTCTAAGTGACTTTCACGCTACAGCACTCCACCTATAATGGCACGAACAATGGGAGTGCCGAGTTTCCAACAGGAAGAATAAAAATAATAACCAGAATGCAGGTCAACTTCTGTTACAACAAGCACTGCCACTATAAAAATCACTTAAGCATCACTGTTATCTCTAAGCTCCTGTCAATTGCCCATTTATTTCAAGCAGTAGTGATTGCAACGAAATTGGAGCCTAATAAAAAGAAGCTGGACCCTCACTACAAGTTGGGTGTGACACAATTGAACCCATAATCACAGACTCTCGCTTGCATTTTATCCGGCTCTTTGCTACAAGAGCAACCCTTATGTAGACATAAGACCAGCCTGGGGAGCGTGGTGTTCAGTAGTTGTTGCTAGGAGAAGAAAGAATTCTGAAGCAAA